TTTTTTCCTCCCTTTTTCCTTCATCTTTATTGTTCTGCATAAACATGCAACTTCTTTTTGGCCACAACTGTAAGTGCCTTAGGATTTGGTTAGTTGTATTTATGTATACATTTTTAACGTTAATTATGAGCACCGGTCTGAAATACAGCCTCATGTTCTTCTTTTGATGTGATCTGAAGAATCTCTGTGGAAGGCCATGGAGCTAAGATCAGAACCCAATCCACTGTCTGCTTGCGTAGTTGTGCAAGAGGTAACAGTAGCCTGCTTAAAAAAAAAAAAAAAGATGTAAAAGGGCTAATAATCTTCTTGTTTGTAGTGGGGAATCGCAAACCCTGTCTGCACCTGTAGGTATAGCTGCTGGTGCTAATCATGATAGCAAGGGAGACCCCCTGCAACTATCCCGTGGAGAGTAACAGCAGATTTCACAGGTGGGTGCTGAGAGCAATGGTAGATTTCATGCTTCATCACAGATTAATAAAGCAGTGAGGTTATTAAAATGCTAATACTCATTAATACCGTTTTCTGGTGTTTAACATTAAACATGGAAAATGAAAATGAATGACAGCCGGTAAATGGAACTGACAGTTGTGCTCAGGGTGCCTGAAGCTGGTGAGAAGGAGCTGCAGGCAACAGAAGCTGTGGATGCTCCCATTCCTGCCGCGGGTTAAGGCAAACAGCACCTCCTGGTACCTAGACTTCTGCAAGGTCACCTGAACCAAGACTTGCATAGGCTCTTCTGTTATTATAAAATAGTTGATGAGATTTCTTTCTTTGCTAGTGTTGGTCAGAACCATTATTTTCTGTGTCATATGAAAGTCTCCAGCAGTACATGTGTCTAAGACCAGAAATGACAGCCCGTTGAAGCACAATTGTGAAATACTTTTTTTTTTTTTAAGTGGTCAGCATTTATTTTTTTCCCCAAAACTCTTCCTGTATTTCAGTTGGCTCCATTGTTCTTTATTTGTTGCTTAAGCCTCAGTAAGCTTCCCTTCGTCCCAGAGCCAGTTGCATTTCAGCAGCAAGTAAAAGTTGGCCCTCTGTGGGCCATAATGTGTGTAATGTAATATAATATACATAGATAGAAACTTAATTCTGCCATATCACAGGCTGTTCTAATTTTATTTGTGGTTAAAATTCACGGAAAACTTCTGTGTAGCTGTGTTTAAATATAAAACTCAAAGATCTGGGGTACTCTCGCCTAATGTTCTTCACAAGTGACAGATTTTAACTTCATGTGAACCTTATCTCTGCCTTTGCTGGGATGCAAAAATCCCAGGAACACTGGGGAGAGACACTGTAGTTCACAGGGACCAGGGATAAAGGGATTCTAAAGGCATGATGCTTATGTATCTCTGTTAATGATAGTACTTGGTAAAACTACAGTGGTCTGACCAGGTATCCATTTTTGTGTCTTAATGTTTTAAGTTTTAAATCAAATTAACCTTGAATGTCCTAATTTTACGATGCCTAGATGTGAGTCTGTGTAGCTGACTGCAAATGACTGGTGTGTGCTCTCAGGTACATTTTATGTTCCAGGGGGTTCTTTTGCGCTTAAAAATTTTGTCTTCTCTTGAATCCTCAGCTCTTTCTTGCACAGACGTCATGAATGTCAACTGCCCTGTTCTCTTCATTTCCCCGACATGTGCACTGCCAACATACCCCTTTGCTGTGACCTGCGGCGTAAATGGCACATTTCTTCCCAGAGATATTTTTTCTTTTTACGTGCTTAAAATGTGATCAGTATCGTCCCCTTTCAAAATAGTTGCCATCTCCTGTTGTTCTCATGGGACTGAAGCCACATAAAGCACTTCAGGAATTAGTCCCCCCCTTCCTTTACAAGCAGCAATTTAACAACACTGTCAGTCTTTGGTGGTTTAATTGAAAAACCTACTACATTCTGTCACAGTGAAAACAGACAGATATCACTTCCATAATCAAATTTGAAGGAATGAATGATCACGGAAAAGACTCGTTGCTTGGGCTGGAATTTATGAAAGCGTGTTTATTTTGGCAAATGTTTCTCAAAAGCAGGTTCGTATTTATCATCTGCACCGTCTGGATTTTGCTGTGAGGTGTCAGAGCGTGGTTACTCCAAGTTGGCTCGGAATTGGATTTCTGCCAAAATTTTGTGTGCCCTCCTCTCCTTCCACCCATCCCTCTGCTTTCTTTCTTCTGGTTATAGTAGTTTTTTCTTCATGTTGCTCTCAGTGGGTGTTTAATTCTTACTTCTTGGTGCTAAAGAAGATAACAAGCTTAGAAGCCAAGTTTTAAAAGCTGAAGAGAGTAAAAAGAAGACTGGTTTCTTCAGCCTTACACATTTCTTCTTAATATAGGCACATGTAGTTCAGGATTTGATTGTAAAAAATTTTAACACACTAGACTAGGAACCTTTTTTGGTTTGTTTTCTCCTGAATCTAGGTTACAGGCTTGTTCGTTCTTCCAAACTCCTGCTGATTTCTTTCTCTCTTGATGAAGGGTCTTCAGTTCTATCCCTCCTTTGATTTAAAATCCTTTCCTAGTCCCAGCCAGATGTTTGGTTTCCCCTGCTGTTGACAGTCAGATAATATTCTCACACTATCACTTCATATATTCACATTTGCGAGATCTGTCACAAAAAATTTCCAAATTTTTGTTACTGAATGCCTTACTGCGTATTTTTTTACTACTTTCCAAAGGCAAATTCCTTTAATGTCACATATAAATTGCTCGAACAGCAAGCAAAGGCAAACCTTCCTGTTTTTCCTTTTCCAGTAAGAAGGGCTTTTTCTGAGACACATCTCATGGATGACCTGGAGATTTACTCCACCTTTGCTGAAGGAATGTGGCCAACACTTCAGAGAATTGCAGGAAAGCTTCAGGAGTTTGGCCAAGAAAGAGTAAACCATCAAAAACCAGGCAAAACTTTGTCTTTCCCCCTTTCCACTGCTTTCCTTTCCTACCGTGTTGTGTTGTCCTCTGCATCAGACTATTTAAGACTGCCAAATACTTGAATATTTTATAGGTAATATATCTTATAAATGCCATGGCCAGCCTCTGAGGGAAACACAGGATTGTCGGTTTTGGATGGAGTATAAAACCCAAGCAGGAAATCATTGCTGAATGGCACAGCTGCAGGCAAACATTGTAAGCTAGTAAACTGCCCATCTGCAGAGCCACACGTGTGTCGGAGCGCAGGGCCAGGGTGGCCGTGGCAGAGCGCGCCTGTAAGTGGTTAGCAGCGAGAAATTGGGTGAGTAAAGAATGAAGTGTTTTGCTTCATTAGTTCCTGCAATACAGCTATCGGAAGGCGATTATAATCTTGTTTTCAAGAGGAGGAGAGACTGAAGACCAGAGCTTTCCCTCGTCTGTCATAAAGAATAAAAGCAGAATTTCAGATCTGGGATAGGTTAGCTCATCCTGCTGCAGGACGGAGAGTGTGGCACAAGCTACAGCTGAGCACAGGAGGACAAGTTTGTCAAGTTTGTATTTGTTCGTATGGCTGAAGTGGCAATCGCATCTGAACCTTCCCGTCAAAGTTAGAGACAGGAAAGACTGTTTTGGTCCTTGGGTCTGCTTCTCTGTCATTGACCTGAACAGAGGCTTGGCCAGCTGCACGTTTCTTAAAGTTTGAACTGTTTAATATCCCCCATTGATAGAGACTTTGCCAACCAAAATCACCTTCAGGGTGCTTATTCTAGTACTTTCCTTTTTTAGTTTAATCTATAGTTAGTGTCTAGTTTTGCTGTCTTCCATTCTAAACCAATCCTTTTCCTTCGCAGGTTATCATTTGCCGAGTTCCTCTGGCCAAGGTTTCTGTGTTAGTTCTCCCAATCCTTCCTCTGAAGTTTAGCGCTTCCTCTTATACAAGCCAAGTTTGAGTTCATTTTCTGTGTGATTTCCCAAGCACTACTTTAAATGATCTGCAGTTCAGTAACTAAATGCAGATTGTTAAAATACTGAAACAACAACAGTAAACAAAAAGACTGTATCTTATGCACTCTAACTGCAAAAACTCTTAATTTGAGTGGTTTTTTCCAAATACTGTATTGAAAAATAAAATTATCTTCCAGTAGCCAAAGCTAAATTGCCAGAGTTATAATCCTGTTGTACAGTAGACTTTCTACCAGTAGATTTTCTACTGGTATTTGTCTGTTGGGGAGAGGTTTTTCTTGATTCATTGTAATGTATAAATCAATGCAAGAGGAAAGCTAATCTAGTGACCAGGGTCCTTTTTTAAGGCATAGGTGGCTTGTCTTCAAGCCCATGCTTTATCACAACCCTCTTGTGTGATTTCTTTGCCTCCTAGTATTGGGGTGTCAAAATGAATATAATAAAAGTTGAAATCTGTATGCAGGGAAGACGGGTGTATTGCCAGCTGAAGCCTTTGGAAGCTTTCTGATATTTTTTGGCTCAAGGTACCTAAAGAGCACTAAACTTGTTAAAATGTGCTGATTTCTCTTGGTTAAAGGACTGAGTCTTTAAAATGTTCTTGATCTTTCATGTGAGCAGGAGGACATCATTAATGTCCGGGTCATAAAGGGATCTGATATTTCATATATCCCTGAGCATTTCTGTATTTTTATCACAAAGAAAAGGAGCTGCTTTGGTTTTTCCTCTATAGGCACTTTATCTGCTCTTTTCCTGTCAAGTGATGCCTTTTTTAAACCACATAAAGTGGGTATCAGTAGTTGTCATTACGATGTTGGTAATTTCTGCATTCTGCCTGCACACAAGTATGAATCCTAGGGTGATGCCGTATTAAATTATAGGCATCTCTGTTAAGCTATAGGAGAATTAGTTCTGAATATGAAGCTTTTTCCTTATTTTGAATCTTCCTTTCAATGCATTAAGGAAGCACCTGACCAGTGGACATTGTCTTAGTGCCAGATGTCTTGGAGAACCTGGCATTTTGATTCGTCCTTCTGAAAAATGTGCAGAATATTGGATAACATTACGCAAAGAAAATGAAGACATGTAAGTTTTAGCATTCACAGACTTCATGTGTGTGTATCTTTCCCCAGGACAATCACATCTCTTCGGAGTGAGCTTATTCCACATCTGGTTAGGAGACAGTTCTCTTCTCCTGCATCATTGCAGCAAGGACTAGACAACAAAGAAGTGGACCAAAAGAAAAAAGAACAAGCATCTGTAGGTCAGTACAAGTATCAAAGATTTAATGAAGATTTTAAAGCCCATATGCTCCAGCTGAATTATTGGATGGAACACAGAATTTGCCTGAAAACACTAGTTTGGTGATTTGTTGTGGGTTTTTTTCTCTTAAACTGCATGATAGCAAAGATTCTAGCAGGTTTCTTCTTCTAACAGTACTGTGCATTGTCTAAATATTTTTGTCCTCCCTTATTTTGGTGTAAATCAAAAGCAAATCAGCTAGGTGCTCTGTGTTTTTTCTTCTAGAATGCAGTATAAGTAAATGCACTTTTGAAAATGTGATTTTAAGAAGGAGTTCCTAAAATTGTGTAGGGCAACAGACTAAGCTTTAACCACCCTGCGCTGGGAACTGGACAGGATCTCAGATCTTGGAATTTATTTTTAGCATTTCCGCTGTCTCCTTATGTGACCTTGGGCAAAAATTTGCATCTGTCCTGATCCCTTGATTCCCACCTGCAGAATAAAAATAAGCACTTACTCACTACATGTGATAAAATCTGTTAATGATTGCTAAGTATCTAGCCATTCAGATGATGTGAGGCAAAGATTTCCCTTCACCAACAGTATTTTAATAGTATTCCTCTTCAGAAAGTATTTCATTAAATCCTGTCTAACTTCATGCATGTGTGTGTTCTCCAGACATTTATAGTTTCATAAAGGAAGATAATAGCTTGCTGAAACCTGCTCCAGATAACTCTTGTTGGAATGATCACAGAGGAGATATGAATGAAACTCTCCACGAAGGAAAAGTGCGCTGCTACGTCCATATAATGAAAGAGGGGCTGTGCTACCGAGTGAATACTCTTGGGTTGTATATTGAAGCTAACCGACAGGTGAGAAGAGTACAGAACTGCCATGTGGGAATACAGGAGTAACTGGTGGGAGATTTTTGCCTCCAGGAGTGGCTCCAGCGAGACAGCTGAGGAGTGTGTGGGAATTGAACCCGGGCCATGTTATCCAGGCACATCACCCTACCGGTTGTTGGATAGGGACACATAGGTTATGTTGCTTTTTACTCCATAACTTTGATTTAGCTAAGGAAATCCCCACCCCACACGCTCTTCTGGTTTTGGAGGGTGGCAAGACCTGCAGCCAAAGAGCCAAGAAGTGTGGAAAATAAGGCTGTAAGTAGCTTTGATAATGCATCTAAACAATGTCCTCCGTGGCTTAAAGGCAAGATCAGTTCTGACTGAACTCTTCCTAGCAGATGTTTATCGTGATAATGACAAAGGTTATTAATGATTTGCAGAAAGACTTAAACTACCCGTGCATTCAGATTGCCTAATGCTTTCCATTATGAAAGAATTATTTTATGAACAGGTTTCACTACAGTGGCACTCCAGGTAAACACAGAGGTGAAATATTGATGTATTGCAGCTTTCACTTTCACACTACTGAGGATTCATAAAATAAAAGATCACAGGGGAGGATTAGAGAAATCCTGTACTAGCTAATGACCTGATGATTAAAAACTTTTAATTTTTTTATTTATTTTTTTTTACTACACAGGCTGATGCAATGTACAAGTTCTCACTTCACTCTGCTAGTGATGAACTGTTTCCTCTAATTTTGAGAGACTGCTAGGGAATGTAGCAGGGACAGACTCAAGATTTCTGGAAATGGGGCTGGGAGAGCTATAAAATTGTATTGGGAATCCTGGAAGTGGTCACTGCCTTGCCTTTGCTCTCAGATTGAGTTGATTTCTTTTTAATAAAATGAATGGGTGAATTTATGCAAATTAGAGTTGCAGAGCAGCAGAGTGAGCTCACACATTGTGGCTCTTTCTCCTTGGTGCCTGTAGAAGAACACAGAAATAAAGTGATTTGCTTTGTGGTTAGGGGCATGAGGAAGCGAGGAGGGAGACAGCGCTGCTGTCAGAAAGGTAAAACTTTCCACAGGAATATCAGGAACAAGTGTGCCCAAAGGGTTAAGAGAGAACACCGCTTGCTAGAGGGAAGTGTGCATGTACATTTGGCAGCAGCCCCTTCAGTAAAAAGTTATTGAGTTGAGCCAGTCAGGCTCCATGTGGGTTTTTTGTGTTGGTTTTTTTTTGTGTTGTTTTTTTTTTAACCTAAATATTCTACGTTTTGGTCGGTTCAGGAAATGTGTATGCTCCTGGGTGGTACATGGAATTAGTGTTTTGAAATCACGTTGGGGCCCTCAACGTTGGAAAGGATTTTCTTTGAATTTTTAACTTTTCCAGAATGGTAAAATTTCTAAGGGAACTATGTGGAGGTAAAACATAAAATGGAGCTTAATGAGGGGTTGTGAGAAAGGAGTTCCTGTTTTCAGTGCCACTGTATTTTGTTTCTCTTCCTAATCCTCATAAAAGATACACATTTAATTTTACCGTCTTTTTTTTTTTTTTAACTTGTTTTGTTGGCCTCTAAAGACTTCTGCTGTCTTGTTTGCCCTTATTTTGGTCTTCACAGACCAGATTCTGATTCCCTGGCTGCAAAGCCGGGACCCATAACTTTGCTGTCCAGGAAGACAGACTCCCAGAGCGGTAGCAGTCCAGTCCAGTAGCAGTGAGAAGGAATGGCATCCTAACCCATTGCCCTTCTGGTGAGGAAACACTTTACTCACATCATTTCACTTCCAGCTGGGTTTCTGGATGCCTGCAGCCTGTGTGTGGGCAGGTGGGTTCAGGAGGGAGTTATCTTCAATAGCAGGAAATAGTTTCTTTGTAAGATGAATTAAATCCAAACACATCTTAAACCTTCCCTTGACCCAGGCACTCCCTCTGACTCCTGCCCCCTATCTAACCTTCCTTTTCGGAGCAAAATGTTTGAGCTGGTAGCTTTCTTGGGTCACCCCTCAGGCTGCGCTAGCATTGACTGATTCTATTAAGGGTTTTGCTCTGGCTGGTAAAGTCCTTTATTTATTTCACCGCACCACCTTTCCACTGAGGAGGGCAAAGGCCTTTCCTCTTTTTTTTTCCCTTCCAGCAGAGCAACACTGGATAGTAGGAACCTTTCCAACCTTTGCTGTAGGTATGCTCTGATGTGTGTTCCTCTTGGAATTACCTGCTGGGGCTGCCCAGCTCTGTGTCAGGGGAGGACGACATCCCTTCACCAAGCCAGTGCCATCCAGGTGGATTGGCCTAGTTTGTGATGTTCCAGTAAGCTGGTGGTTTTCTGTAGTGCCTGCACCTTGGACTGAAGGTTCTAATATACTCTTGTTTTAAAAAACAAACAAACAAACAAACAAAAAAACCCGCAAATCTAGTGGGAAGGACTGTCAGGATGTAAAGAGCTATAGATATGGATCTAATATACTCTTGTTTTAAAAAAAAAAACAAAACAAAACAAAAAAAACCCTGCAAATCTAGTGGGAAGGACTGTCAGGATGTAAAGAGCTACAGATATGGAAATGTCTCCTGGGGACAACAGGAAGCCTGAAATGACAGCTCAAAGGTCTGAGCTCTCACTCATCTGAATGAAGCATCAACTCTGAAAATTATAATCATATGAAAACTGGCACTATTTATCCATCCTTGCTGCTGGAAGGGAAACAGGCTCATTGTATTACAAATATCCAGACAATTTCCTGCAAGTATCATCTCATTTGAGATCTTGAGGTTTTTTTCTGATCTGATCCCAACTTCTTCAGGTCTGTAGGATCTGCTTCTTGATGTTCCCTCCCTAGCCATCAGCTCTTGTTATCCCAGCTTTCTACAAAGTTGTTGTACACGATTGTACTGTGTGGCACCTCGTTCATAGCAGCTTTGGAACTTGCTGGCAACTCTCAGCCAAATTTAACAGAGCAATAGAGATGTCAAGGATAAACCTTCATAAGAGTGTTGTAGAAATAGGTGCTTGGGTAGAGAAAAGAGAGACTTAACGAGTCTCTCACTTCCTCCCCTCAGGCAAACCCAGTTACACCACGACTGTGCTGAGACCCCAGTGACCTCCCAGATGGACGGTCAGTGCTCACGTCCTGGCTGGCCAAACCACGTGTGTGGAGCTCAGCACCAGCCGTGGCACACGCAGCCTCTAGCGCAGGCACACGGTTTGTCGCAGCACAGACCTCGTAGCCCTCAGGCATCACTTTGCTGCCTTCTCTATCTCCCGTGGTTTTTTGACTTCCATCTCTGTCCTGCCAAGATTCATCGTACGTTGCATCACCTCGTTACAGCACTGTGTGTGTGTGTGTGTGTGCTGCTGCGAGACTCCTGCCTCCCCTGAAATCCCCACCCGTGCTGTCATCGCCACTTCTGTGGTGTGTGACCTTGACCCCAGCCTGACGCCAGGAGATGCAGAATGCCTCAGGCTGCTCTTTCACCCAGAAAGGGAGGAATGACAGAGTGATATCCCACCCTCCTACAAGGCTGGCTCCCCTTTCTTTTCAGGAGCCAGTTCAAACTTGCTCTCCACGGATCCATTCTGGGCTACCTTGTGGCCATGTCTCTTTCTCCTGCCATCAGTGCTTTGTCTGCCCGTCTAACACCCAACTTCTCTCTGTCAAGAGCTCCTGCATCTTTCTGTCATCTGGAATAGCCACTTGATCAATATTAGTTTCTTTCTCCTTACACATCTGAAATATTTTTTTTTTGTTTTGCCTGTACCTCAGCAGGCTGCCTTATTGAGTGGACTGGACGTAGTCACCTTTTTACACCAGTTTACTGGTTTATGTTTGATGTTACTTGCTTCCCTCTCTTGCATTACCGAATGGAGTAAAACACGTTGAGCCACATTTGAAGTGACAGATGCTGGACATTGTAGTACTGTACAGGCTGTGTTCAGGTGGAGCCAGCCTGCTTGGTGCTTCTGATCCAGTGCTCCTCCACAGGTGGGAACCTGAGCTGAGAGAAGGCAGGCAGCACACTACAGGGGAAGTGTAGCTGTGCCCTTTACAAAAGGGGAAGATGATAAATCACACATACCTGTTTGCAGATATAAAATGCAAGAAGCTACATTTTTCTTTAGGTTAAAATGTTTATGGTAGATGTACGAATGCAATAGAAACCAAAGCCATCTTTGAGCTGTATGTGACATGCAGGTATAGCACTGTCATGTTAACTTGGGATGTGGGTTTTTCCATGCAGGTTCCTAAGCTATTGCTCAATCTGGGTCTGGAAGAGCCACTCGTTCATGGGTCTGCACAGATCACCGACAGAGGCATGGTAGGTGTTTCCTTCCCTTTCTCTGCTCTTTCAAGAGCTGCTTGCTTCAAGAACTGCTTCTTAAAATTAAGTCCCACCATTGGAAGTGCAGCTGAGTTCTGAAGTGTGGAATTACAGTGTTAGGGCATTCAGCCCAGAGTCTCCTCATAGGCTCTTCCATGGGTTCCTGCCTTTCAGTCTCTGTCTTTAAAATATTTGGTAAAAATTCTGTCTTACTCCCAAGTCCAACACTGCAGTCTCTTGTTCTCTAATGGCAGTTCGTGGTAATTAAGCAGTTTGCCTCCCGAAGGACACCAAACTCATGTTTTAGCTCCGCTTCTTGCTAAAGCGTTTTGGTTGCGCACTAGGTGTAAGCCTGCTTTCCACAGGTCTCACTGGGCAAACCTGAGTGAAACCAATGTGTACCAGCTGGACTGTTCTTACCATGCTTACCCTACTGCATGAGGACCACAGAGCCAGACCAGCTAATGGAGTTTTACCAAGCTAATGGGCCTTGGGAAGGCTGGCCAACTGCCCTGTGTGATGGGCCCCAGCTTTCTAGGTCTTTCCCCTACCAGGGATCCCTCAGGGCAGAGCAGGGTGCACCATGACGAGTGCTTGAGCTGTGCTGTTTGGAAGAGATGTATGGAGAACACATGTCAGAGAACTCCAGGTACTTTTGCCAGTTTCTGTTCTTTTCTTCCGTAGGTTGGATCAGACAGCATCATTGGGTCATGCACGCAAGTGGGGGAGAAGACATCCATTAAGCACTCCATCATTGGCAGCATGTGTACCATAAAAGACAAAGTTAAGATAACAAACTGCATCATCATGAATTCTGTTACAATTGAGGAAGGGTATGTCACCTTCTATATCTCGGTCCCTTAAACTTGCAGTTTCTTTTTCCAGGTAGATTCTGAGTTAGTAATTTTTGTCCTGTAAGCAATCCTCAGGCAGAACTTTTGATACTGGGGAGGTGTTTTTAAAAACTGAGTCAGAAATAAGTCTCTATAAACAGGCTGCAGATGCACGAATGAATTGACAAGAAGGCTGCAGTCTTGGAACATAAATGTCTTCTTTTTAGAGATCATATAATCTTCAGAATGTGTAAGTAAGTTAAGTGGATACATGAGTTTGTATGAGCTTGTGTGTCATCCCTTCAAGCTTTATTTTAGTGGTGGGGTCTGCAGACATCTCTAAAATATTTGAGGCACAAGGCATAGTTTGAAGCAGTACGCTTACCAACTAGGAATGTTCTTATCACCTTTGAATGTTACAGATTCCCATAAAATGTCATCTTCTTTGGCCCTTTTTGTCAGCTTGCAGCTTTACGTTACCATTGCGTTTGCTGAGTAATAGAGTGAATGAATAAACCTTTCAAAGAGAAAATCTGCCAGCTAGCAGAGGTTTCCCATGCATTAAAGACCAACTAAATAGGTAGCCTTGAGCTGTACATTTCCAAATGTGGGAAAAGTGGCCTATCTGTAATTGTTGATGTCTGCGTGCCCCCATCTTTCCATACATGCTGGCTTCCTGTGGATGTCAGTGGAAAGGAAACTGCTGATTGAGTCTGTGCAGGCCTGTATAAATTCCCTGCTCCTTCATGGCCTGAGGTTTGCTTAAGGCCTCAGGAAAAAGGCCAAACTCTTAAAAAATGCCAAGTTGGCTTTGAAAGTTGCATATCTGAAAAACAAAAAAACCCAAATGATGTGGGGTCTGTGGAGGATACTACTGTTACATAACTAAATTACAGGTAAGTATGGTACCTTACTGCCAAGTGTTTGTCTTTAATAGAAATCCGCAGTAATTTCAAGCACGTCGTAAATCAGAATTCCGTTGAGTATAGAAAATAGCTGGTTTCCAGTGCAATCACAGACGGATCCAGTACAGCTGTATCACAAGCACGGCTGTCGTAAGAAGTACCAGAACCTCTCTCGTTTGATCGTGAGACCTTCTGTCATTTTGATTAATGAATTGATGCCGCAGTCGTTAATGATACGGTTTTGCATACGAGGTGAAAGGCTCTACCGTTACGCGCACAGGCGGCTAAGTGGATAAAAAGTGCTGGCTTTATCAAGAGTCCCAAATCAGCTTCTGTTTGTCTGGGCTGGTATATACTGTTATTCTCTTCTAAATCCTAAATCGAGCTCAGAGCTGTTACCTTAAGCATTCCACAAAATTCTACAAGCATCACAGAGGTGGTGATGTATTACATTTTTTAAGAGGGGTAGACTAAATTTCGGGGTAACATTTTCATGAATTTCTGAAAAACAATGTCATCCCTAGTCACTCCCAGTGAAAACAATGTAGCCATCATTGAGTGAGAAACCTCATAGTCCCAGGAGTTTACCCCCCTTAGCTCAATGATTTCTGCGCACTCGATGGGCTAGAGTCAGTTTTGTAATTATTCCTCTCTAGGCAGAATTAAGACTATAGACCATGGAACTTTATTTCAAAGAAGACTAACACATATTTTGTAGATCTGCACAGATACAGAGCTGATAAAATATTTCTTATTGCATCATGGTAAGTCCTTTTTTTAACCCGATCTCAGCTGCAAAAGTGATCAACAACTTCAGTTCACTATGTCAATATAGGGAAAAACAAAACACATCAACAACAAAAACAACAGATGAAAAAGTTTTATTTCGTGATGGTTTTCCTCTAACGTGAGAATCCTGTGAGATTAGAGAATCCTGTGCCATAGTCCCTGCAGCTTCAAGATCCACAAATTCTATCTCCAGACCAGAAAAAGATTTTGAATAGCCTCACCACATTTTGATACCGGCTTCTGAAATGGATAAATAGATTCTTTCTGGGCAGGTGGGAGCACCACAAGGTGCTTAGAACAAAGTTAGGTTCCTGTTGTTTGGCTGTGGTTGGCTCATTATTGGAGAAAGAGAGGTTATAAGCTGGATGATGATGGCCTTTGGATCGAGGAACTGGGGTTAGCCTGGATAGTGCCATTACAGACTGTTTGCAAATTATGATCTGTTCTTCAGTGATGACTGCGTGTATTTGATACTTCGGAGGACCAGTAGCGGTGTTTTTGTTTTCCCTGGTGTGTAGGGCTTCTGGTATGTTATGTATGTTTCCCGTGAAGTGATTTGAGTAGATATGAATCCCCCCCTTAGAAGAGATTACAGAGGATTAAAGAAGTTAGTAACACAGGCAAAATAATGGGTACCCCTTTCTTATGTGTTTCCCACTGTGCAGCTAATTCTTCCATCAATGAGACAATAAAATAGGGAAGATTACATATGTGCTGAGTGATGGACATACTTGACCAAGCTGGGAGAGATGTAATTTATACAACAGCACAAGTGCTGAGAGATGCTGACTGCCCAGGTGACAGGCTGCAGCGGGGAAACGGTTCTCATTTCCCTCTGGACGGCTCCCCAGAGCTCAGTGACAAATGACTGCACTGAGTTACATAGTTGCAGAAAATCTACTAATGGAGCTGAAATTACAGGTCACTAGAAAACTTCGTATATCTGAACGTTCCTGCGGTAGCCGTATGTGTCCTCAGTCTCTGTAGTAGCTTGGGGCAGCCCCTGTTCTGTGTATTCTGTTCTGTTTGCGTTGAAGGTGGTGCAGCTCAACAGGGTCCCTGAGTTGCTGTGCCTTTGATGCAGGAGTCCCCTCATTAGAGCTCACTTGCAAAAGAGCAGTCTGTAACACTGGCAGACTGGCTGCAGCTGGTTATGGAGGGAGATTATGCCGTTTGCAGTGAAATTTGATGTCTCTGATAGATTTACCTGCCACGATGAGCAGGAGCGGCAAACGCGTACGCAGAGATGAGAAGGCAGCTGAGGTACTCAGCAACTTTCTTGCCCCAGTCTTCACTGGCGATCTCTCTTCCCACACCTCTCGAGTGGATGGACCACGCGATGGGAACTGGGGGAGCGAAGTCCCACTGTAAGAGAAGATCAGATTTGTGACCACCTGAGGAACCTGAATGTACATAAGTCTATGGGACTTGATGAGATCCATCCCGGAGTGCTGAGAGAACTGGCTGATGTTGTTGTCCAGCCAGTCTCAATGATATTTGAAAAGTCACGGCAGTCAAGTGAAATTCGTGGTCACTGAAAAGAGGGAAACATTGCACTCGTTCTTAAAAAAAACGTAGAAAGGAGGACCCTGGGAATTACTGACCTGGCAGCCTCGCCTCTGTGCCTGTGAAGATCATGGAGCAGATCCTCCTGGAAGCTAGGGCTTATAAGAAAGATGAGGACAATCTTTTTAGCAGGGCCTGTTGTGATAGGACAAGGGATAACAGTTTTAAACTAAAAGAGAGTAGATTTAGACTAGATCTAAGGAAGAAATTCTTTATAATAAGGGTGGTGAATCACTGGAACAGGTTGCCCAGAGGAGTGATAGAAGCCTCATCCCTGGAAACATTCAAGGTCAGGTTGAACAGAAGTTTGAGCAAACTGGTGTAGTTGAAGGTTGGACTAGATGACCCAAACCATTGTTAAGATTTTAGTTCCACTCTTATTTCTTCATAAAACAGAAATTACTGCTGATGGGGCTTGCAGACAATCTCACAATGAATTTTGCTGACCTGAGTGTGATAACTGTGTTTCACAGGATACATAGACACACTTAGCTTCCTTAAAATGAGACCTAGATATGAATGGATGAATTTAGGTTTAGGTTTCTGGTTTGTTTTTTGTTTTGGCAGTTGGTGCTTGGTTTCTTGGTGGTTTGTGTTTTCTTTTTTCAAACTTTAGCTTTATTTTTACTGGTCGTCGTTTTACTTAGTTTGTTAACTTCTGGCAGCAGGAACATCTAATTGCTCTGGTCATACAAGACCCTGTGCTGAAATGCACTGAGCATTACAAATAATATTAACAGGAAAAGCATGTTGAATCCTTTATTCCATTCCTGCAGATAAAGATTTCGAAATCACTCGTTTGTTAGTAAAACTGTCTCAGTGTATACACTTAGCAAAAGGAGCTTGGTCATTTTGTCATGTGCACAGTACATCCTTCTTCCTTGGTCGTGGAAAAAGAATGTTTCCCTGGGAAAGATTCAAGAGATGGGACTATAGTAGGGGGAAAAGAAAAAAAAACCACAAACCACCAAGTCTGATCTTTGAGCTATTTAGAGGTTAGTCAAGGAGGCAAGCATGAAAAGCTTGGATAAATATTGAGACCACAGTAAGCCATGTTTTGAAATGATTGTGTTGACATGCTGGTAGTCAGTACCATGGAGGCTCTGTGGCAGATTTAGTCTTTGAAATGAAGTATTTTGCTGCTTTTCTTTTTTCCAGGGAAATACAGGAAAGCATTCTGCTTCAAATGATGTTTTAATGGAAATCGTTAAGTAGGATGCTGTGATTATCAGAGGGGGTGACAACTACATGCAAACGGCCCAAGATTCGCATCAAGATTTCACTTCCATAGCTAGGAAGTAACCAGATCTTCACAAAGTAACCAAGGAAGCTCAACCTATCTCACCTATAATTTTATCAGAAGAGCTGTTCGTTGGGGATGATTGATTCATTGGGGCGATGGAGAGGATAAATTAAATGTCATCTGCCTGGCACAGGCCAGAGAATTTTAGGTAGTGTTGACTTTAGAAGATGGCAATCTTCATACAAACATCAGGAACAATTCAAGGTCTATTGACCACGTCAGGAAACTGTTCCAGTGTTCATTTTAGTCTCACTGTTTGCATTTGTAACATATAGAGACACGTCCCTGTTCCTGAGTCTTTCACAGTCTGCGGTCAAAGATGCTTTTTGTGGCACAGGGGCTGGCCAGCACAGATGTAATTTGTAGGGTCACAGGCTCTGATGGGCAGGTACTGCCTTCCTCTAGTATTTACGCTGCTGCCATTTTGCAGTTCTCTG